GAAATTGTGGGAATAAATCTTTCCCAAAGTCTTGATAACCATCCTCGATGACTTAAAAAATGCTGAGGCTTCCAGAACAATCTGGAATCAGCTACTATTCTTAGTAGTTTTGAGAATCTGGAAATAACTAAAAATTATTACATTTAATTTTTTATCCGATGTTGCTCAGAATTTACATTTCTGAAGGCAGAAAAGAAAGCAAATCCAAAGGCTTAATATATTTTTTTGAAGCCAAGTTCTATATTCAATAATACTCAATTGAAAGATATAAAACGTAATTCTGGTATTTCTTTTTAAGAAGCTAGCTTGTGAAATAGTTCACTTTGGATTATTTCTGAAAGACAAAAATGCCAAAGTTATTATCATAGTCTTCATATGAAGTTCCTGTTTGGGAGTCCTTTCACTATAAATATTTAGCAACAGAGATGGAGGGAAGGAAGGAGTCTGGTGAGAAAAGACAGAAAACTAAAACCGTAGGCTAAAAAGATTCTATAACCCTTTTAAGTTTAAAAGTGCCTGTAATACTCAAGGTCTATTGCTATATAAAAACTCCTCACTTTCCTCTTTTATAAATCACCATGATTATTATCATCACGCAACCACTGAATCCAGCCCCATTATACCTCTCCTCTGTTCACAGAAGATCCAAGAGGATCAGGTTAGTACCTTGCTTTTGGGGAGTCTCTGAGAGCTGTTAGGAACTCTAGGAGAGGAAGCAGCAGACTGAAGTGTGTGTGTGGTGTTTTGGAACTCACGGGTGCCTCTGTGTTGATTCATTCAGAAAGTATGTACTGAGCTGCACATGCCAGGCTATGTTGTAGGTCCTAGTAATGTAGCAGTGAACAAAAGTGACAAAACACTCTGTTTTCCTGTAGCTAAGTCAGAAGGGACTAATAATAAACAAATGTTTCATAGTGTTGCTAAAAATGAAGGCAACAAACAAACAAACAAATAGGAGAAGGGGGGAAGGGAGGTTTGGCGGGCTTGCCATTTAAAATTAGATGGGTAGACACCTGGGTGCCATGGGCCAGAGCCATCAGCTGAGGGAACAGTCATGGCCGAGGCCCTCAGCAGTCCGAAGGGGACCACGGTGTTGGTGTGGATTGAACAAGAGAGAGAGTAAGGCGATGGGGTGCTGCGGGAAGGAGGCGTTTTCTTCTGAAATGGAAAGGTGCTGGAAGTCTCTGAGCACTGTGGGCTCATGAGCAGACTTAGGTTTCAAAGGACTCATGTGTAGACAGAGGTTGCGAAGGAGCCACCGGAGGTGGACAGGTCGGGAGTCAGGGAGGCTGCTGGATTTGGATGGAGTTGAGAGGTAGAGTTGAAAGGGTTTGTCCACAGGTTAGATGTGGGTTGGGGCTTCCTAATTTAAGACATTATAAACGAGGAGTCAAGAACAGCTCTAAGGTTTTGGTCTTGGGGTGGAACATGTGCTTGGGAGCTGATGTGTGGTTTTCTTAGGTCACTAGAAGGCGATGCCCAAATCTGAGGGTCAGTCTTGCCTATTTTGGCTTTGTTGTGTTATGTGTGTAACAGAGAGAGAAAACAGGTGTTTTTGGTGACTAACTACATCACGTCATTGTACCCTCTTCCTGTCAAAACCAGCAGTGGAATTTGAAAGTACAAGGAAGGCTCCCCATCCATTTCAGGGGAGTGGATATATTCCCCCTTCAAACTCTTATTACTGAGGAGGCTTCGACGTCTCCTGTGTTTTTGTAGGAGTGGTTGTGTCTGACAGCTGATTCCAGTTGGTACTGAAGGTAACAAGAAAGAGCAGGGTCTGCCTTCCTGAAGCTGGAATCCACCTGGTCCTGAGAACCTGGGCGAGACAACAGGGCTGAGACTAGGGGATTTGTGAGGAGTTTGTCTTTAGCTCAGTGGTGGTACTGGTGGCCTATGTGCATGTAATTTTTGTGCAGGAATGAAGACTGCAGGGGGAAACCTTTGGAAGAAACAGGAGCTGGTTCGTCGCAGGTGCCACACTGGGTCTTGGCTGAGCGAAGCCTGCCTTTGTCCATTCACTGCCTCTCCTTATCACCTGCTCACGGCCTTACCTCCTGCAGGCTAAGCTTCCTTTCCTGCTTTGCTGACACACTTTCTTAACAATCGCTGATGATCCACCACCCTGAAATCATAACCCTCGACTCAGTGCTCACTTCTTTGGGCTCCTCTCGGTATTTAGTACCTGTTACCCACAGATGCCCCCCAGATCCTGGCCGTGCCCTCCTCCACTGGTCCTCTGTTCTACTCTCTGAATGTTCTTTGTCAGGACCTTCTCTCGCCCTTCCTGATTCCTCAACTGTAGTTATGTTCTGAACGTTTGTTCTTGGCCTTTCTTGCTACATTTTCTGGTTCGGTCCTATCATCTCCACATGTGTGCCAGATTAATTTTCATAAAGGAAGCTCCTACAAAGCCAAACCCTGACTTCTGGTGGCTTGTCAAGAAATTTCATTGCATTCAAGTAAGATTTGTGGTCCTTACTCTCCAATTTAAGGTTACTTCACAGATTTTTCCATTTTTGCCTATTGGTCCCTTTCATGTCTTTGAACATGCAGACCTGAGCTGGGCTATGTCAGCCTTGCTAATGCTGTCCTACCCGGCACGCTCTCTCCTCAGTGCCCTCCCAATTCTAACCATCTTAAAAGCTCAGCATTAATGTCCCTTCATGATTTTTCTAAGTAATGTTATCTCTTACCCCTGAACTTCTGTCACATTATCTCCCTATCACTGTTATCACTGCAATCACTTTCTTTTATTAGAATTACGTGCATCTTCTCCCATCACCAGCCTCCTTGTCTGAGGGCAGGATCTGTCTGATTTATGTGGGTATTAGAGTACTCAAAAGCAGTGCCTCGACAAAATACTTGGCTGGCACGTCAATTATTTTGAGTTGATAAACTCTAAGTAATATGAACTGCCAGGCCACGGTATCAGAGTTGTACCGCGTAGGGACGCATGGACTCAGGTGAAGGAAGTTGTGGGTCTTCCAGTTAAGAAAGCTCTTGGTAATCCAGCTTATTGAAATCTTTTTGTCATGCTTCCTTCCCCAGAAAACAAAGTATCCCTCAGAACGTTTAGAACAAATATCATACACTTTCTGAATAATCAGGATTTGAAAAAAAAATGTAAATACTGGTGAAATTCTTGGCCACTGCAAGTTATAAGTTAATGACTTACCGATCTGAAAACAGTAGGACTAATCTGATTATGTTGGGGTATGCCTTGTTTACAAGACATAATTAATACTAAAATCTTGGCCAAGTAACGAGTGTGGATAAAGCTGTAGACAAGTAACATTGATCACTCACTGGAGTAAGATTAACTTTTTCAAGTGTACCTTGCCTTACCAGTGTCCTCCCTGGTTTATTTTGCACTTAAGAATTTTAATTTCAAAGTTACCTTAACTTGTCATATTCTTCTTACTCTTTCTGATGGGTATGACAGAATTTTTTCCTGTTGCTCCCATGTCCCAGGTCGTACGTCCTGTGAAGCAGATCCCCCAACTCCCAAGACATGTGCTCCTCAACGCACAGGGAAGGTGCTGGTAAACATGCAGACCGTGAGATGGGTCTGCTCAGGTTCGTGTATGGACTGGTGATTGTCGTGACTATACAGTCTGCATTTTCTCTTAATTCTATCCAAACAGTAAGTTATGAATTATAATTAGGAGGTAAATTTTACCAAAGGCAAAACAGAGAGAACTCTATATGAAGTCAACGTCAGGGACTGGAGTCCCAGAGACACCTCATACTCACTATACTCTGTTGGTTACCATAGTTATTTAACGTTGGGAAGTGAGTGCCTGGTTTCCCTCACCCCATTTTGATTTCTTCTTTATCTTCTTCTTCTTTGTTCTAAGCATGGAAGAAGTACACACAAGCAATAAGTTCCAGTTTGAGAAAAACTTAGATTCCAGTACTTTGAACAGTTCCATGGAAGAATGTTTTAAAATAATTCATTTCAGGGCTAGGAAAACTGAAATTATTTTGCAACGGTAGATTTAATTCTACTAGTATGTGTATCATATAGACATTGGATCTGAACAAAATTTCAGTTTGGAAAACTTTTTTTAAGATAGGATTTATTTAGATATAGAGAAACTTCCTTTATCACAGGTGAAAACCACCTGCAGAGGTCAAAGATTTTCTGTTTGTTGTAGATGTATCCTGGAGAAAATATAGACAAAGTATTGTACTATGTGGTTGTACTTGTTACGACATAAATTAGGTAATACTATTCTCCTTGTGTAAATAAGTATATCGGAAAAGTAAAGTCTTGAAGCAGAACAGAAAATAAAGAATAGAAGAGTAAGAGAGGATAGAAATGGAAGGAAACCGGAGAAAAAACACTGAGTCAGCTTGTCTCGAAGTGACACTCCGTATATTTTATTTCTACCAATTTACAGTACCTATATTTTATAGGCTCAATATATTCTGTTTTCTTTGCTATCCTCATTAGGCTCCACAGTATAATTTTACATCATATACTATTAACATTTATGACTGGAAGAAATTTTTGAAACTACTTTGACATGTGATCAAAGTACAAATTTGCTAATAAGACACGTCATCTCTTCCTTTACACATTTATGTTACATGTTATGCTGCAGTTCGAAATCCGTCAGAACACATCAGAATACTGCATTGCCTCACTGGGGTTTTCCTTTAAAAAAAGAAGCCAATATTCATGTAAACAGTACCTTAGGAGATGCGAAATTTGATAACTCCTAAATGTATCTCAAATACAGTCAAATTAAAATATTATCCTATATGCTTATTCATTTTCATATCAACAAACCCGTGACAATAATATTATGAAAGGCAACATTTATTAAAAGGCCACTTTTTAACTTTTTGTTGTTGCAGCCACTGTCCATTTCCTGGCTATCCCGAGGGTAGAAATTGATCTGTCAAGGCAAACATCAAGTAATCTGACTGTGTCCAGATTGCTGAGCAACCATGTTTCTCAACCACTTCTTTCAAATAGGTTGTTGGGGCAGGTTCCTTTATTGCCAGGTCAGTCAAGGCATCAAGAGAATTCTCTGTCCATGTGTGTGGAAATGTTCGCTTGTGTGACATTGAGATAAATGTCATACTGCTGGTCCAGGCCGAGGTAGCAGTCACTCATGAAATACAGTGTGTAGATATACCTAAAATATAAAAACAGATCAAGACTGTAAACTTTCTAATCACAGTCATATTTAACTCTTTCAGAGCTTTGGTGGGTGGGATGCTGCTTACCTTCCAGGCATTTCAGGGGTATAAAAAGAAAGGGAAACCACGTGCCGATTTCGAACATATCCTACTCTTTTCAAAGCAATAAGTTCTCGCTTATCCACTTCTCCTAATATTAAAAACCACCCTTCATCTTTCGATTTGGGAAATCTAGGGGTAATTGCGCAGCTCTCTTGCTTTCCCTGTAAACCAGAAAAAAAAGAGAAAACATAATGTTTAGACTTTCTATATCACTTAGCTGTGGTTAGAAGGCCACATTGTTGTACTTGGAGGCCATAAAGTTTATGGGATGTTTAAATTTTTCTTCTGTTGTGGTTTGGTGTGGTTAATATGCTGTTACCTACCCTTCTTCAACATTCTCGGAGCGTGTTATTCACACTACTTTGTGGCTGTAACTACCAGAATATTTCGGTCAGTTAGAATAAAAAGTTCTGCATTTTGACATGAAATTAGTAAATTCACATGTTATTACTACAATTAACAGGAGTATAGTACTTGTAAATGAACACACTGAGATAAACCATGTTAACCAAATCTTCCAAAGCCTGATACTTAGAAAAACAAACAAACAAACAAAGCCAGTCCAGGTTAGTCTCTGGACCTCAAAGTAATGAGTACTATGTCACTAAACACCTTCACCCATTCACGAGTAACACTCACATGAAAAAGCACATTGTATAATGTGGTGATATTAAAAAGCCCTTTCTCCGAGAAATGCCAAATTGTAAGTCAAGCAATTTGTTAAATAGCAGTTGAACTCTTTAAGTTGATTTTTATAAAATGCAAGGTTATTCTAGTGATTCTTTAAGACAATGACTTTATGACATAAAATACACTAATGAGGACATACTCTCAGTATTCTAGACACAGATGTTTTACTTGTGGCATTTTAAAAGAT